TTTTTTCTATCATCAGTGCTATGCACTCTTCTTTGTTAGAAAAATTTAGCAACCAAGTCATGCAATGAGTATGACAAACAAGACTTCAGTAAAGATGATCTAAATGCCTGGCATGACTTTGACACACAAAAAAATGGACAAACACCAATTATTCCTCATAAGTCAATGACATATCTCTTGGGCTCTCAAATGGAAGTGTTCTAATCAGCTGTCAAACCAGGAACCAGTGCAGGAAATTACCTTAATAACATATAGGATCAGAGGCAAATTGTTTCCCTGTCCTCACTGCTTGCAAACTGTCGGAACAGTAAATTGCAGGTCTGATCCTCTCACCTTATCTTCCAGATATTCCAGCACTTTTCTGACAATCCTGCCTGACTCTTCAGGCATGCAGTTGTAGAGCAGTGGCTGGGTACAGAATGGCTTTGCATCCTCAGAAGAGGGGAAAGGGTATTATCAATTGTATGAGTCAAAGGCCAGTTCTTGAGGACTTGATTTATTCTGCATCTTTTTGGAAAAAAAGAGGAAAAACATTTTCTGCTTCTGAATCGGTTGGTGTTTGAAAATTAATAAGCCTGTTGTTATCCACTCCTGCCTGCTGAGTGACCTGTTTTTATTGTACGCTGAGGTGCAATAAAATAAAAGAAGGCGATACTGTGAAGGAAAACTTGGAGGCCTTATTTGAATACATAACCAAGTTTGTTTACTATGAAAGAACAATAACAATGTAATGAGAATGTCTGGTGCAGAGTTAAGTACATCCTTGTCCAAATTTGATTTATGTGATTGTTTCTGGATGTTAACTCAACTATTGTTAACATAACCTCCATTATTTTTATATTCACGCTGCCTGTGGGCACGCGCTAGCACGGCAATGTGAAAGAAATCTGAAAGAAAATTGGTAGCAGTTCTAGTTTTTCCCTGAAATAACAGAGGTTGGGGTGTAGTGAGCCATAGGTCGTGTTAAGGCAAGCAGATCTGTGTAACTGGAGGAACTTTGTTAGGAGAGAGAAGGCAACCATTGATTCCTGTAGCTTATTAACCTCTTGAGGGCCACATGCAATATCCAGACATCATCCGTGGTCTGATAGCGTGTATATGTGACGTGGCTCTCAAATTACCTAAAGAAAAATGCCACCACTTTTGCTGCTTGATGAAACACATCAGGCGATACACTCTGAGCTCAGGCTGTCTGTGTTTTTGAAGGTAGAAGTTCAGCTTTGTGAGGAATGCTTATGCAGACACTCTGTGTATGTAATTCATATGATATGTCTATGGAATTCATACAATAACTTTGTTCAGTGTACAAAGCAGGGTTTCTCCAACCTCTGTGGTAGGCAGTCACTCCACAGGATATGAGAATGGGCATCTTTTAAGAGATACAGATGATGCTTTCTCTAGGTAAACAAAACATTCAGAAGTTGCTACAATGATTAAAGATAAACACAGCTCTCAAAGGAAGTTTTATGGGTATAAGCAGAAGACATTCTTGTTTGTCTTTCATGTTCATTTCAAAATTGCACACAATTACTAAATCTTTCCCATGTGAGCCTTGCAGCTTGTGTTCTTTAATGAGATAATATAGCATATATTTTAGTACCCATAGTTCCACAATTGAAGCTCAGTGATATCTGCAATGATATTTTTGATTCATTTACTTGTAATTCAATTTAGACTAATAAGAAATAGCTATCAATAACTCTTTATGTTTCAAAGTCACTATATGACTTACATCAGGTGTTGTCATCAGAATTTTATATTTACAATTTAAATTGAAATTTACAGTTTTCAATAAAGAAGTGGTGTGTTCAGCGTATTACTGTAAGTCATTCACATAAATCCTTAATTTCATCTTAAAACTGCATCCTGATTTTGTGTCAGCTGGTGGTTCCCATACACTGGGAATGACTCTCGCTGCTGGGAGATTGAGGTATGACCGCTGAGCTGAAGGCAGAATTTGAGCATTCACTCTCAGCTGCTCCATTTTTTGCTCTTCTTTTTTAAGTGTCCTTTTTCTCTCAATTTCATATGGCTGTGCTTTTCTTTTTTGTTTGACACTCATTTAGGGACGGGAAACAGAAAATGCCAATGAGATTATAGTAATTCGGGATGTGTTGTGGTCAGAGACTGGCAGAATCTTAGTCCAATTTTATGCAAGGCACCAGCATAATAAGGTACATTATTGCAGATGGCATAGTAATCTGTTATAGGTCATAGCAATCATCTGACAAGTCCTGTGATTTGTAGACAAATCAATTGTTACTGAAATGACCCAGAGGATGTGATCTTAACATTATATCCTTTAAGTCAACATCCAGAGTTTGCATGTGGGTAGCCTGCAGTGTGGGATTCGGGCTGTTCTGTCAAGAGCCCAATTTTGAACATACATTTCATACTGTCCTTTATCAGTATTATGAACTCCTTCCCCTATGAATCAAAATACAGGGCAATAGATTATTGTGGGTAATCTTTTTTTTCATAATATACTGTAATACAGTGCTCATCTGAAGCAGCAAGTCATGTTTCAGAGGCACTGTCTGCCAATGATTAAATTTCAGTTGAGACCCATGAAAACCATATGGAGCAATGTGGCAAAGCAGTGGCAACAAGTTTGTTAGTTCAGTTCATAAAATATGTTTCACAATAAGAAATTATTTATTTCAACCTGATGTGTTTGTGCTTTGTTAAATATTATTTGTGCTACTGAAATAATCTGGTAATGCAAAGGATAAAATGACCACTGCTTCATAATCCAATGTATTGCTTGTTGGGTCTCAGGCCAAATCTTCCCCTTCAGATCATTCACAGCAACTTTATGTGTGAGTTTTAAAGACACCTTAGGGGAACATAGGTTTTAATTTCAGTTCTCTGTCTTTCACTGAAAAAAACCAGATATTAACTTAGATAAAAATTAGTTGGAGCAACTACTAATTCTTGATATTCAACAGGGAAGTTTTCCATACTTCAAAATTTAATTTTGTTACCTGAAAGTAGTGACAGTTTGGGGGCAAAGATGGAAATAGGAAAATTGGGAAGTCGAGAAACAGCTGACACAAGTTTAAAAAGTGAATTAATTTTAAGAGTGTTTTGTCATCCAGGAATTAAAGTGAATGTGAGCCACTTTTTAGCAGCACTATAAAAATGACAAGAATTGCCAAAAACAAGTCTACTGGTTACTCCACACGTCACTGTCACTGGGTAACTGTTAGCACCTACATTAGTCACTCCTTCAATGGGGCCATGAAATTGTTCCAGCTTTTAAAATGTGTGAGAGAATTGAGGCAGGTTCTGGCACATCATAAATGAAAATCTAACCTTCAGGCTGGTACAGTAGTGACATTGTTACTGTTTGCATTCTTGAAAACACATGGCTTGTCAAGTTGCAATAAAATTATTTTGTACTTTTATATTATTAAAACTTGGTGGGGTCTTTGGGCAGCCCACGAGAAGTGTGAAACTTATAGGTGAAAGAAAATATATTAATTATTGATTCTCAGTATTTAAGTATGGGGGTTTTTGTTGTTACTGACTTTGCGTCTCTCAATAGCTGTTGCATTAAGGAATAGACTTGCTACAGAAAGTGCTCACACGTGCTGTTGGAGAAATCAAATACTGAACCACCTACGATCAAAAAAAACCCTAGTAACTTCTCTGAAAAACCTCTCGCAATAGTAACACTCATAAAAACAGCATAAAAAGTCATATTTTCATTCCATAGCAGAACAAACACTCAGCATTTTTGCATAAAAACAAATAGCAACATAGAGTCATCTTCAGTCCACAGATCTTTTTCGTGAGCTCTTATTTAAACCTGAAATCCAGTTAAATGCTATGCAGCTTCTTAGCTCGAGCAGTCATTACTGTTCTTGAAAAGGAGTGCTTAATCTTTGGTTTCTTACAAGATTCCTCTTATGAATAAAACTGTGTTGAGTCTTACTACCTTCAAACAACTGTCCGGTTTCTGTTCTGACTTTCTCCAAAACTTATACCAGCCTGCAAAATGAAAAATTCACAACTGTACATAAGGTTCTCTTAAAAGTTCAAATTAAATTGCCTAAGTCATTACAAGTTTTAGGAAGCCTGTATATTAGTCCTACTAACAATAAGGTAATTTAATTACTCCAATTACTAATTTAATCACTGCATTAAAACTGCCTTGTTTTTTTTGAGTCACATTTAGCCTTATATGAAAATCTCCTAATGCAGCATTAGGGAATTAGAATTATCCTGGTACTGAGTGAAAAGAACATATTCTGTTGTGTAACCAGAAATGCATGTATTGCCTGAATATACTTGCTTTCCTAATTGTAGAACTAAAATATTTTCTTCATTTATAGTTTGCCTTATATTATGGAGCAGACAATACAATAGGATTATTAACCTGTTCTTACTTCTTGCTCTTTTCTCTCATTTTCCAAAAGTGGGTCACACATTCATGCTTTCAGCCTGCATTTTGGTGTCACCTTTTTGGCTTCATATCCAAGGTCACCTTGTGTGCTAGTGCTATGCAATTTTAATATATTCCAGTCACACTCCTGTTGAGGTAGCAAGGTATTGCTATTTTCAATTGTACAGGTAGCGAACAGAAGCACCGGAGAGTAAGAGTTGCTCTCCCGTACCTAACTCTGCCTGGTCATTTAGGGTCCCTCTAGACATCTACAGGTAGGTGATATATCACCCCCCCAGTGTCTCAGCCTGGATCACATTAGAGTCTGGGACAGGTGGTCTACTGAACTCAGATCTTCCAAGTCTATGGAACTAACTATGTTAGTGCCCTGATTACTGAAACATATTTCCTTTCTGAAATAAACAGATATTTTATGATGAAGTATAGGGATTTGACTACTGCTGCTTCATGGGGATTGGCAAGAAGCATGAACCTTGTGATTTTTTGTGTCACTATTTTAAAAAAAGTTTTTTGCTGTTTCTCTTATTAAATAATTGAGAGTGTCATCCTTCATCTTGGGTTTCATGGTTTCTGTACGTATTGCTTTTCACAGATACTACACTCTCAGGGGAAATTGGCACCAAGAAAAAGGTGAAAAGACTGTTAAGTTTCCAGAGGTATTTCCATGCATCCCGGTTACTGCGTGGAATTATACCACAAGCCTCTCTGTACCTACTGGATGAGGACTACCTTGGGCAAGCAAGGGTAAGATGGTCTCTGGGTCTCCATTTCTTTTAATAATATTCCAGAGAGTGTCAATTTTGTTTCAGTGTTCAGATAATCAAATGTATGGCTGTATGGCTTAAATGACCCACCTTACTTGCCTGCCTCACAGCAAACAGGCTGTCCATTCCTCTTTTATGGTTACAGCTTTAAAGGCTTAGTCTCAATGAAACAAGAAAATGTCTAAATCTATTCAGCATTTTTAGATTCTGTCAACTGAAATTATAATCTGGATTTATTAAAAGATAAAGGATCCCTGGCTGAGTTACTGATTTAAGTAAGTGCACCCTCAACACAGGATTTAATTCATCGGCTCGAAAAAAGACAGCTGTCTCTCAGCAGGTATGAAGCAGCTATTAGGCAACCTACAATAGCTCTCCATAATGGCAAAGGCTGGGAAACAGGGAACAGTCACTGCAAGGAACTTCATAATAATCAAAATATAATTCTCTCATTTTACAGCTATTATACTTGCTTTGAAACATATTTTCTAACAAAACGTGCATGACTGATGGTGTTGGGATTATGTGCCTAGGCAATTTTTACTCTCTGCAAGAGAAGATTATGTGCCAAGTGTTAGAAAGTAATTAGGAATCCAGAACTGGTTTGAATACAGACTAAACGATGGGAGTGAACACGTTCTATTCACACATATGCCATTGTAGGCGTACAGTTAGTCCAGACTCTGTCTCTTGACTGAACTGATGTAGCTGTAAAGACACTGTATGTGATGGCAGGGATGGCTTCTTCCCTGTGGCTGAGTGGGCTTCACAGAAGCACTGTATCCAAGTTTGTAAAAGCTATTACTGTGTATTGGTTTGTTCAGCAAAATGTAATTCATATTCACCATGAGAGCTATGACTGTGCTTTACTGTAATGAAAACCTATGAGAATTTGTACTGGATTGATTTTGGGACATGAAAGAACAATAAAAAACTTGTGCAATAAAAGGGAACATTTTCATAATATTTTGTTTTATAATATTCTATGTTTTGAGCTCCATTTTGAAGGTATTTTTAGTGTCAAGTTCAAAACCTCCTCAGTGAAAAATGCAAAGGATATCCTATGCAGTACAGATAAATTTGGTTCTTGGTGTCTCGTGTTTCAAATACCTCTCTATAGCTTTTGTGAACAAAACTTTAAAGCTGCAACAACCAATCCTGTGACTGATCAATGTGGAATAATAATTTACATCTGCTTTATAGTTTCACATATCATTCACTTACCTTTTCATATTTGTTTTTTCTAGCATATGCTATCCAAAGTGGGAATGTGGGATTTTGACATTTTCTTGTTTGACCGCTTGACAAATGGTAAGTAATTAAACAAAAAGGTTTTATTTTAAAATGTCTCATATATGGCTATCCTTAAAATCCCTAATTAATTTATTGCTAAACATTTTCAGTTAAGATTCCAGAAGAGAAATTATACAGAGTGAATTCCTCTTAAAATCATGTCCTTGAACATTTCCAGGCTTTTCCCATAATGTTCACAACTGTAGGATAATGTTTAAAGTGTGCTTTCGTGTTAATCTAATCTCATACATTTGTTATGGCCACCTTTTGCTTTTTTTATTGTGAAGTGCTTATTAGTTTCAAGGAAGTATTTCAGTTTCCTTTATCTGGGAAATTCCAAAGGTACTTTGAATATACCTATTAGATCCATTGGTTGCTAAGTCCAGACCTCCATAATCAGTCAGTTTCTATCAAGATGAAATGCTTTTAACCAAAGATATCCTTGCTTATGTTCAGCAGCAAAATTTAGCAAAATTCATTAAGACAGTAAAAATCTGTAAAACTTTTTGCCTAAACATGTGCCTGTAGCACCACACACACTCCGATTTCTAGGTAGTGCCTCTTGATCTGAACTGCCGAAGAGGATCATGATCACAGCTTTCTCCTTTTTGTATTGCTTATGGGACCAAAAGATCCCTCATTCCTCATGCCTGGTCTAAGAAGGTTTGGCTGGGGCAACAAATGTAGAAAGAAGTTGGTTTAGAGGGTAATTCAGCTGAGTGACTGACAGTGAAGAGTGGAAAGGACTGCAAGTGGCAAGGGGAGCAAAAGCATAATTCTTCTGAATTACCTTTCTGTACTCCTGCTCAGTAGCCAAGGCCAAATAAGTTTCCATGTCCTCTTCGTACATATATTTATTTTCTTTCCTGAGTTACATTAAATGAGAAGAGACTCCCTTCAAACATTGTTTATACATTGTATAGGTTGGTTGGTTTTGGGGTTCTTTTCTAATTTTTCTGGAAACATCACTGATGAATTATGAAGTGCAAACTTTTTTAAACACTGTGTGTATGTATATTTGATCTTATAATACTAGTTAGGCTCAGTTTTGCCAGTGTTCCCAATACTAAATTCACAGTAAGGCCAGCATAACATTACAGTGGGATTTGAGACTGTAAATACTGCAACTCTTCTTTTCCTGATTGCATCATCATTGTGAGATGCAACTGTAGCTGAGCTAGTTACATGGGCTAATTACATGTTTATACTGCCATGTGTAAAAAAAATTAATTACAAAATGCTAATTTCTCAGTAATTAACTACTTAGTACAGTATGGCAAGCTGAAGTGGCAGAAAAGCCATTCTCCTTTCTATAATTTCTGGAAGTAGACCTGGATTATGAAGATGATGTGATTCTCAAACAAGCCTTTCAAAAGATTTCCAGTTGAATCCATGTCACTTTGCCATTTGTATCATGTTGAAACATGACTTTATGGCATCTAGACAGAAGAATGGCACTGCACTGGTACAGCCATACTGTCAAGTCTTGGTTGTATATGGGAGTGATTTATGTAAGCTGCTTTTGGATATATGAGTACCATCTAAGCTCTTATGATAGGAGCTGACTAATAGCTAGGAAACTATGATGATTTTTAGCTTTGCTTGGTTTGTAACTACATGTTAAGGGAATCTAAGAGTTGTTCCTTTCTGCTTTTAGGAAACAGTCTCGTAACACTGCTTTGTCACCTCTTCAATGTGCATGGACTTATTCACCATTTCCAGTTAGATATGGTTACGTTACACAGGTTTTTAGGTAAGTGCTCACCTCAAAGCCATCTTTAAACACAGTTTACAGCTTAAGTAGGGGACCAAAAAAGGCACTGGTTTGATCTGCACAGATATGTAAAGTCATTACATCGTTGCAAATATTTCAGTAAAACATTTCTGTGATATATATTAGCATACAACACACAGGCACTCAGGTACTCAATTCAGTACCTGTTAAGTCAATGTAGGGACTTCAGAAAGCTCTGCATTGCGCTGAAATATCCCGGTACCACAGTTGCACTGGTGATTTTTAAAGAAGTGTGCCATGCAGAGATGTGGCTGGCCAAGTGGGCCCCCACAAACAGACATACAGACATTGCAGAACCTCCCTGTGCACAGTACAGTTGTGGTGCAGCGTCATTATTTTAGTGACTAATAGACCACTGAGACCCAGGACAGTTAAAACCTTATGTGCAAAATTTAACAAATTATATCAAGCTGTCTGCACTGAATAGTGTTGATGAAAGCCCCTGCTGCTGTTACTGCCAACAGAAATATTAGCCCCATGCTGTCAGCAAACCAAAAGAAGAAATTGGCCAAAATCAATTACTTTTTGCATCATGTTTTGAATGCAGCTGAATGCCAGTTTGTTAGGCTGTTAGATGGAGCTTCAAAGGCAGGGTCTCTTCCTTAAGAAGATTGTCACTTCTGGAAATGGTGTGGAGACAGACAAAATCTCCCTGCCGTTTGGTGTGGAGACAGACAAAATCTCCTTGCCGTTTCTGACTCCTGTGGGCGGCCATGAAGTGGATGCTCAGATAATGAGAGCAAGTGGTATCCGGGGTTTAAAGGATTACCCACTGTAACTTCAAATGCTGGTGGAGCTGGAAACAAACTGAAGGCTCAGAGTTTCTTTGGCATTCCCAATTCTGGAGAGGAGTGCCATGGGAAATTTGCCTGTTACCTTTCTGTTTGATTAATTTGATAGTGTGTGGGAGAGCGCTTTGGGCAAGATCACGTGCAGCTTCCTGTGTTCACATGGTGTTGCCCGGAGACCACTTAACAGAGCAGGCACTGCTGCAAGGAACAGATGAGTGGGAAGCACGCACCTCAGTGATTTTCTGTGCAATTGAAAGCTGAGAGTTAAAAGGTTGTCACTCAGTCTTCCAGCTGGACCAGTTCCAGCACTGCACGCTAAAACAAGAGGGACTGGTATTTTAACATGGAGACATAGACGTGACTAAAATTATCATAGAAGATTTTGCTCCCAAGACCCCTGTGCTTTATCTTTTGATTCTCTGTCTGGAGCATGTAGGAATGCCTTTGACCATTGCTAGTCACTCAGATAACAAATGATGCCAGGATATCAATGACTCAACCCCCGCTGCTGCAAAATAGGTGGTACTGCCTTAATGACATAGTACTCCCCTATGACAGCAGTGCAAATAATTACACTCCATTGTGGATAACTTTGCCTCTCTTCCTTGTTTATTTTACTCCTGAACGAGAGCCTTCACTAAGGCAAGAAAGAGTTGATTTATGAACTAGTACCAGCATATCCCCTTGGGCCTCACAGATCCTTTCATGCATTTTTTTCTCTCAAGGTATCCCAATAAGCGCACCAGTCTAAGTAAGCTACAGATATTTGAAGAAACTCCTTAGACAGCTGACTTCAAAACCCCAAACTGTATTTTAAGTCCAGTTCCCATTTGTGGCCATGGCATTCAGAGACAAAAGGATCTTTGTTTTCTGTTTTGGTTCCCAGTTATGGTTCAAGAAGATTACCATAGCCAAAACCCGTACCACAACGCTGTCCATGCTGCTGATGTCACTCAAGCTATGCACTGCTATCTGAGAGAGCCCAAGGTAATGACAACCTTTCTCACTGGTGTTGCTTTCAGATATTTTTTTTCCCAGGATTGGGAAAAAAAACAAAACAAAACAAAAGCTATTTTTAGATAGTGGAAAATGACTGCGTACTTGATGTCAGCAATGAGGCAGTAGCAGAGTCAGCTGCAGATTACAGACACTTCACACAAGCTACTGGAGTCATGTGTCATCACACAGATGACATATCAAAGTGCTGTTGTATAAGCTCTGGCAAGTTTTACCTTAACGGTGTGTACCAGCCATTGGCCAGTGGCTGCAGTCCTCCCAGCAAAGCTGGTAGGAAGAAACACATGCCCCTGACTCAGTCCCTTCAGGGCATAAGCCCCTCACAGCAGTATTTCAGAATACCAAACTGGGCAGTGCAACACCAGAAAAGAAGGAAACAGTGCCTTCAGCTGGGTCTGTTGCAGGGGTTTCCTCTGCACGAGTAAACAGCAGCTTCTTGGCTGCTGCAGTGAGCCCTGACAGCGTGAGGGTGTAACGTTGCTTTGTGTGTTACTGGGAGGCACTGTAATACTGTAATGCTGAGCCACAGGGTAAGAATATAACTTGTCTTTCCTGGCTTGACTTAAACTAAAGGAAGTTCTGCCAGAATTAGCAAATTGTTAGACCAGAATTTAGCAGTGGCGAGGACAGGAGCAGGGCCCAGCTTTCCTGTATTTTCATCTCCTGTAATATCTGCAAGTCCGTTCTGTCAAGAAGTGCAGAGGACAGCCAACATCCAGAATCTATACCATACTACTCTTCATTTCTCATCTCAGGATGCTTCTTTCAGCTCATAGACCTGTACTCTGTATAGACTCATCAGGCTGTTAATAACTGCCTCACTCTCCGAAATTGAAAATGCCAAGACTTGCAATTTTTTTTTTCCAATGATAACAAAATTTGCTTCTGAATGATAAGCTGTATGGAAGAAAAAAGTCTGGGCAGGTTTTCAAACTTGGATGTCAGAAGAAAGGTAAATTATGTTCTCTAATAAAATACCTGTATTTGGACTGAGATATCTTAACAGCCAAGTTTGAAGTTTCAAAAGTTTATAAACTCTGCAATTTCCAGCACAGTTTATTGTTTGTATTGTTTAGTTTAGTATTACTAAATACTGTGTGAGGCAGAGCCTCTTCTCATCTGTGCTAACATGTGCCAACCTGCCAGTATACTTATTTACTTTTTTAAACAGAATCTTTTAGACTAAGCTCAAGTACTTCTATAACAACAATCCTTATATTGCCGTGAATGATAAAGAGATAAGAAATACAAACTGTAATAAAATATGAGTATATAGTCTGATATCTTTATAGATGTTTGTTCAACAGTCACTTTAAAAATGTTGTTCACAAAATTTATTTTATATTTTGCATTTGTATACAAATGCTTACAAAACCGAGCTATGCCATGATGTCAGTTGGTTTGTTTATTTGCCAAAAGAAGAAAAAAAAAAGTGTTTACTGTTCACGTTCTTGTTGTGATTAATGCATGTGATTCAGCTTGCCAACTTCCTCACCCCATCGGACATCATGCTCGGACTGCTAGCTGCTGCCGCTCATGACGTGGATCATCCAGGGGTCAACCAACCCTTTCTGATCAAAACTAAACACCACCTTGCCAGCCTGTACCAGGTAAAGCTTCTCATCAACTTGATAATATGTAAAATGGTGTCAAGAAGAGTCTAAGCAACTTGCAGTGAACTTTAGTGCCAAAATCTGATGGCAGAGGGATGCACTTTACAATCTGGACAATTTTGGCTAAGCTCCTCACTGAGTGCCTCTTCTTACAGCAAAGCTGATACCCGTTAGAAAAAAGGTGAAAATGTCATATTTTGTTGAGGACATTTAAGCCAAATCAGTTGCCTGGGTTATTTCTTCTGTAGATCATCTGGGGTAAGGACTTGTGGGTAGGAGATTTAAAATCACAGCAAGACAATTTGTACTTCATCTTCCTTCAGTGAGCGAGTTAATGTTCTAAATTAGCGTTTCATTAAAGTAAGCTCATGCTTCATGTGGCTCTAGTAAAGTTAAACACTTAATAAATATAGCAATTAAAAAAAAAAATAGAAGATAGAGGAAACTAAAGGAAAAGTTGTAGATACTTACACAAACGTGCCTAGAGACATAAAGCAAGAACTTAAAAACAACCACTGTAGGTCACACCACAGGCTGCCTAGACCAGTATCCTGTTTCTAAGAGCAGCCAGTAAAAGATCTCAGAGAGAAACATAAGCCTGGGATAAGTATAGAGTTGTCCTTCACCTGGCATAGATCCTCCCAGCTCTGGGAAGCGGTAGTAGAAGACTTCCTGAAACAAAACCATGGACCCTCTTGTTCAGTGACTATCAATGAACCCATCCTGCCCTGATTTTTGTGGTCCTTTTTGCATATATTTGAATTTTTGGCCCATGGAAGTCACTGTAGCTCTGGATTTTTTCTGCAACTGTCCTATGTGTATGATCTTATCATGCATGTATACATTATTATATATGCACATCTCTGTTCTTTACATTATACTCACATATACACGACAGAGCAATGCTGTAAATAACTTTGGTTGTACTAACCATAATTCATAGCTAATAAATGGAGATGGTATTGATTTCTAGCATTTGGAAGAGTCAACTTCAGACTTTGTAATAAGGTGTTAGAAAATCCCAAGCTAAAAAATCTAATTGGAGAAGACTCACCAATAGCTATGTGCCTTTCTACGCATACTTAGCGAATTGAGAGTTTGCTGTGATGTGCTTGCTACTTGAAAAGAGATTCTTTCTTGTTTTTCCCTACTCAAGCAACGTTTGGGTTTTCCCATAAGAAGTGGATTATGTCGCGGTACTGCTGTCCTGCCCTGAGATAGAGTAACGGGCTTGACCATGGGAGCCCCAGCCAGGGCACGATGATGCTCAGACACATAAAAGTTCATGATTGGCCTCGTCACAAATTAATGCTGCTTACGAAGTTATCCCCGTATACGTCTGGTGCATTTTGCTTCAGTCTTTTCTAAAGGTCAGGCCATCTGAGTGGGAATGGAGAAAAGCCAGGGAACTGAGCCAGGGGACTTTGGGAAAGTTAAGCTAAGGATCCTTTGAAGAGGAGCGGGTCGAGCCAAAAACCCCAGTCCTATAGAAAGGTATAAACAACTCCTTCTCAGATCAATAGTGGGAAACTAATATATAATTAGGTTGAAAATTCAGGCTAATCAGAAAGAAATTTAACTAAAATAAAATACTACTATCTTGGAGAGATTGTTTCTGCTCAGTTAACTGGACTTGAATGTACTTTCAAATGTTGGTTAGAAAGGCAGCGACAATACAGAAAAGGCAATCTTTCAACAGCAAATGTGATTGTTAAGTATCCTCTTTAGGGACATTCACTGGAAGGTTTGACTTATATGATTTTATCTGAAATAGATCCCAGATTGTTTACAAAGATTTTAGTAGTATACAGTACATGGATGCCAATAAAAATAACAATGTTGGAAAAAAGTTTCACTGAAAATATTTTTAGTCAAAAATTTAGATTCAGTCTTTAAAACAATAAATTGTATTCTTCTCAAGATTAGTGCTTTAATGTGTGATTGAAACTGAAACAAAACAGTTCTAGTGTTTTTGGTGGTTTTTAAATAGCAGAGCCACAGAACTGCTGGGAGTAATCAGAAAAATGATCGAATGAAAGTGAGTTTTAACAAAGCTGGCAGTCATCTGTCACCAAGACAGGAGTAACTGAGACTAAGGGCTATCTATTTATGGTGTCTCTTTGCTCTTGATTCTTTGTAAATTGATATTAGAACTTTACATTTGAATGATCTGGGAAAAAAAAGGGTTGCAAAACAAGGTAATTTAGTGTTTGACAAAGACATAAGTGTTTGACATTTTCTGAAGAGCATATATGAGGAGAATCATGTTTCAGGAAGATCCGGGGTCACCACCAAGGAGTTCAGAACTTCCAGTATTTATTATCAAATTAAATCCATATTTTATGTTGCAAGGCTTTTTTGTAGTAACATATAGGGTAATTTCTACAAGAGTATACTTGCATGTGAGGCACCATAATTTTCCACAAAATAAAAGTGCCTCATTGAAGCCTCTAGCATTACAGGGACAGATGAGAGTGTAAAAGGTGACAGTAGGGACTTGGAAGTCACTAGGTCTCTTGTGACAAGCACAACAGCATTCCTTGTTGCGTGATACAGACTTTCATTTCTAACTTTCATTAACCATTAAAACTAAGAATGAGTTTCATTCTTGCTAGTTAATCATTGTCTTAGAACTCTTAAAAGTCACAGTTAACTCAAATTCTGATTGATACATTTGGCTTATCCGACGTTATTTCTACTTCTTTTGACTGAAAGCAGCATACAATTCAAGGTTGCTCAGCCTGATATAATCCTGCCTTGTAGTTGTCCAAAATGCCACATCAAAACTAACACCAGAAAAAGTCAACTGCTTTGTTTTTTAAAACAGAAACTCTTTTACTGAAAATGAATTATGAATTTCCTAATAAAACAAATAGCATTGATATAAATAAAATGTTATACAGTAATACAGAGTTGAGATCTGTCTTTGCCTGGCTCTTAAATTAAGCGTAATAGTTTAGAAGTCTGGACTGATCACATACAACATGTATGGTACACGTTTCAGAAATCTATGAAAGAATGCATTACAACTCTAGATGTATATAAACTGGAATTAGGAAAATATGTTTTGGGCATCAGTTATGACAGTTCTACTTTGCAGTCTTCCTTAGAAGCACCATTTCTAATTAAAGTATCATTTTCAAGTATTTAACATTGTATATAGTTAGATCAACTGCTCAATGACTAAGAATAGATGACCAGACTGAAAGAAATTTAGATCGCCTCCCACTCTGAATTAAAATTAAAGTTTTCTCTGCACCTATTTAATAGCAAGTCAAGTCTTCCTCTCTTCAAGTTATTATTCTTTTCCAAATGTGTATGATGTCAAGTGTGGTGGTTTGAATGGCTCAGGGAGTCACAGATTGGAGATCTGTGATAGTCTAAGTACAAAAAACATTTTTTCCCTCACAGTCCTGAAGTCTGTGTTAGAGGAAGAGCAATCTAATAGTTTGAGGCAGTAAATGTGATGGAGGCTTCTTAGAATGCCGCCTTTAAAACTAACCTGTGCTATGCAGTTTTTTAAAAAATAGAGTTATGGGAAGCAAGCTCTCTGGAGATCAGAGCTGAGAATCCCAGTCTGCAAGCCAGTCCGTAGGCTTTTCCCTGCATGGGTTATCTCCGCTATCAGATAGCTCATGGCAATTAGTCTTTAGTAAGGCATAAGTGTTCCAAAGTGAGATAGCTGACTCTACTAAGCAGCTTCGGGGGTTCTGGCTGCTTGCATTTAACAGGGGAGTCATATGACTTCAAGCCCAGTTGTCGCTTGTTAACTTGACCTTTCCTTTTCCCTCCTCCATGTACTTTGAGTGTGGGAAACTAGACAGTGCAGCACCCTTGGTTTAAGTTCTCCTTATAGCAGCAGGTAAAGAAAAGAAACTTACAGAAGTGTAATTACTCTGGGATGGGTACCCAAGTTTGCTTTTTCCTTTGAGTAACTGTTGGTTGGATATGGAACATTCTTGGCTGCGTACAGGCTCCGCCCTGTTGTGGCCGGCCTTCAGCGTGGCCAAAGAGCAACTGCACCTGCAGAGTGTAATTCCCTGGTTGAGGTAGGGACGGCTGAAGCAGCTCATCTCAGCAAGTAACGCTGCTGTGCTGGAAGGGATGTGGGGGCACAGAGTGCTCCAAGGGCAATCTCATCATCCTCAGGCTGTTTCAAGGGTGCAGTCAGACCGGGCTGCAGGAACTGTGCACACAGACACTGTCTTAAATGAGTGTAAGCCTTCCCAAAAGCCAAATGTGACAGGCAGGGTTTGTTTAATTTACCTTAGGGTAGGAAGATGGCAGCCTATGGACTTGAGATAACTGTTGGGACCAGGATTCAGCTCTGAGATTAGGGAGGTGAAAGAACAAAAAAAAAGAAATTGTTATGTCCCATTACACTCCCTTATTTTTCTTGGTCAAAGTGCAGGGTTGCAAAAGTCCATCCTGATGTACTTAGGCAAAAGGAGAAGAGGGATATTTAAGTTGTCTAATAAACTTGCTGTCAAAAGTAATTTAGATATTGCATAACCTGTCGTGACTTCTGAGTCTGTTAGCTCTTCCAAGGAAAATGGCTTAGTCTTTGCATGGTTGGAAAGGTTTTGGGGGCTGGTTTTGGTTTGGTTTGTTTTTTTCCCCACT